GCAGGGCGGCTACTTTTGCACAACTGTGAAATTCCAAACATCCAACCTAGTCCGGACACTGACTTTGAATTCATCAGCTTTGCTGCTCCACGTTCGCCGGATAAGAGACGTTCGTGACATTAATAAGGAGGAAGAATATGAATTTTGTAGACCAAATGACGGATAAAAATAGGGAAAAATATCTGGTCGCAAGGGCTCATTAGTGTCAAAGTTCACTGTAATACTAACCTTGTGTTCCTGAGGCAGATCCACAATGTCCCTGGCAATGCACTGGCTCAGTTCATGAGCTTTGCTGCTAAGAACTTCCAAAATCGGATCTGTGCTCGCTTCACCAACTACTAGACCACTTGTCAACCAATCTGCATTCTTCTCATTCGGATCCTGAAAGGGACAATCTACATGCGTCGAAATGACCTTGAACTAAAGAGAGTGACACTGCTAGCGAACCTTGGTTTCCTCTACAACATACGCACTTCTTAAACACACTCTGGCACTGCTATAGATGGATATCTAAAGCAATGAATGGAATGTGACTGTCTCATGAGAATCTGGAAGAATTTTGGCTTCACCTTTGCCTGCAGGGGCCGCTCTCCTGGTTGGATCAACAACTCCAGAATCGGATTCAGCAGGTTTGCAAGCATATTTCGCTGATCAGTGACCTAGAGAAGAAACTCAGTAATGTATGTGATAAGATAAATTATGATGAGCTTAGCGAACACCCAATATAATCACTAGTCAAGAGAGAGCAGAGTTTGAAAACCGGTAACGCTACGACAGCGCCGTGATAATTACCGGTTCTTCAAGTTTGCGAGCGAACAAGTTAGCGGAGAAATCATAAGTCCGGGTCGAGATCTTATATAAGAGAAACTTTTTAGTACCATCATATAATATCTTCAGTTATTTTGGACTCCTTTAAGAAAAACTCCTCTCCAAACTTTTCTTTCTCTTACTTCTGAATACAGCATGATTACGGTAGATTTCTTGAGATGTATCAAACCATATACATCCATATACCATGCCGTGTTCCTTTTGCAACGTTATCTCGACTGATTTACACAGAAAAAACACTCTTATTCTAACAGGTATGAAGGTCTATACGGTGACTTTCGTTGCCAGCTCCCTCAGTGGCAT